TTTTGATTGGGTTTTATAGGTTTGTTAAAGGAAAGGGGCTGGTGTTTCTTAGGTTTTAAATAACGACAACGCCCCTAAGCGCCAGAGTTGATAGTGATGTCGTGGAAGAGGCGGACCTGAACTGCGCAAAACGCAGTGGTAGAGTTCAGCCTCCGAACCTGTAAGGCCCCTATGATAATACTTCCAACTTTTTTTGTTTCATGGGCCCTAGGATGACTTGAGCATCGTTAGAACGTGTTGTGAGTCGTAGAAAGATTAGCGCAACTAGCAACCATCGTCATGACGGCAATGATGCCGCGAAGGTTTACAACAAGAAGAACATCCAGCAAAAGAACAGCCGTGAAAACTCAACAGTCTGCGGGCTAAAACCCGAAACCCAAAACGGTTTAAGGGGCTTCTTAGACCCCAAACCCTAAACCCCTAAACCCTAAACCCTAAACCCCCAAAAACCCTAAACCCTGTTAGAGGCTTCTTAAGGGGCTGTCCATGCAGAAGACGAGTGTGCGCTGCGCGCCCGCGCATTCCCAGGAGCTCGGGTTCTGGAAATCCTGCGACGAGCCCAGAGAACCCAGTACACCTTAATTAAGGGATATGGGTTTAGGGTTTGGGGTTTAGGGTTTAGGGTCTAGGGTTTAGGGTTTCGGGTTTAGGGTTTAGGGTTTAGGGTTTAGGGTTTAGGGTTTAGGGCTATATACCTTAAATTAAGGCATATACCTTACATCCGGGTTTAGGGCTTGTGGCGTCGGGTTTAGGCTTTAAGGTCTTACACCTTAATTAAGGAATATACCTTACATTATAGGGGTCTTAATCGAGGGATATACCTTACATTATAGGGGCCGTAATTAAGGGATATACCTTAAGCTATAGGGGCCTTAAGTAAGGGATATACCTTACATCCTAATATTAAAGCCCCTATAATTTAAGGTATATTCCTTAATTAAGGGATATACCTTAAATTAAGGAACAGACCTTAAACTAAGGAATAGACCTCAAATTCAGGAATAGACCTTAGATTATAGGGGCCTAATTATTATAATTTAAGGCATATTCCTTAATTAAAGGAATAGACCTTAAATTATAGGGGTCTTAATATTGTCATGCTTTAAGGTATATTCTCTAGGTTCCTGAGTGACCCCTAAATAATAAGGGTACCCTTTTTCCTAGTATTCGGTTTTTATAAGGAGCCCCAAAATAAAAAGGGCAAAAGGGTACTACTCAGGAACCTAGTATTCTTTAACTAAGGGGTATCGGGTTCTCTGGGAGTGCTCCGTAAGCCCGGGGATGCAGTGCAAAATGGGGCTAAATACTCAGGATAGGCCGGATAAGGGTTTAGGGTTTAGGGTTTTGTTTTTTTTTCAGTTTGCAGTCGAAGTTGTAATGAGGAGCCCTGGCGAATTGTGTTGGCAACTATTCAGGCTTCCATAAAGCTGTTGACAAGCCACATCCGGCATGACTGTGGCACCCTCTATATGGTAGGTTCATTACCAATTACTTATATATGATGCAATGCTTAGTAAGTTGCAAGGCTCAGGGCCAAGCTTTATCGATGCTTTGTCGGAATGGTGAGAATCTGCGAGGGCATCATGAATCATAGGGGGATTGCTTCATGGTTCAGGGTTCATGGCGTGGGGTTCAGGGTTTCATTGATCTACTCTCAGACAACCCAATACACCTTAATTAAGGAACATGCCTTAAATTATAGCGGCCTAAATATTATGATTTAAGGTATATTCCTTAATTAAGGGGTATTGGGTTCTCTGGGCTGTTTAGACAGTTTAGACTGTGGCCCAACTCATCTTGATGCCCGACGTGATCTGCCGGAGGCAAGACCCTATGATCCAAACCCCAATAGGGCCCCAACAAAGCACGTAAGCAAAAATTAGGATAGGGATATCCCATATAAACCCCCTTATAATGAAGCCCAATAAGGTAGGGATATCCCTATAAAATGCTTATGCTTATATCCTTCTTGGGTTCCTAACCCAAAGCCCTAAACGCAGAGGGATTCAAAACGCGACGCGGAGGGCTTCAGGCTTGGGATTGCAATCGAAATACGCCACCATTGCGGACTGTGAAGCTTTATGAGTAGCCTTTTCGGACCGTCAACCCGTAGTCACGCTTACAGGTGACCTTTATGAGCGTTAAACTCCATAATAACCCCAAAACCTTACGATCAAAAGTTGCCCTCTTTTGAACCTCAACTTGATGGGTTAGGACATTCACCTCCGGGATGATCTCGTTCGGCCCGGCCACAGAGAAGTCAACATCCTCGTCGGTACTCTTTGGGGTCTTCGTGGCATCTTAGGGGCTGCTTTAGAATATCCTTGTCTTCCGGATCCTGCTATTTCGGGTCTACCTTTTAGGGTGTCGTCTTTTTCTAACTTAGGACACTAAACAAATGACAAACGAGAAAATTACGCCTAAGCCCAAACTAAGGCTTCGGGTGGATCCTAGAGTAGCCTATGCGGTACACGTTAGGCCGAATTCCAAATCTGGCTTGCTGTGGGGCTTATAAGCTTTGATCTGCCAATTTTGGGTTTTTACGAACCCTAAACCCTAAACACTAAACCCCTAAACCCTAAACCCCTAAACCCTAAACCCTAAACGCTGCAGTAACTAGAAATTTTGAACCTATGCAGACCTTCGTGAAGCTGACGACGAGGGCGTTTTGGAGTTTTGGATGAAAAGGCCGTAAACCCTGCACATTGCAACCTCAATGTCCAAGGCTTTACGGAGGGTTTAGAGTTTAGGGTTTAGGGTTTAGGGACCCTAAACCGGCTAAACCCTAAAGCCAAAACCCAGAATTATCCTTAAGACCATCAAACACTAACACCACGCAGAAGCCCTTCAGCCCAAAACCCTTAAAGCCCGAGAACCACGCGACACATGCTCCTTCTCATGCACTAAGCCCTGAGCCCGAAGCCCTAAGCCCTAAAGTCTAGGCCGCGAGCGCGACCTAGTTGTAAGACATTTTCAGGTGGGTAGTTACCGTTATAGGAGCCTTATAGAAAGTCTAAATCCCTTATGGAAGCCTTATAGAAGCCCTATATACCCCAAACTCCCCACCTGTAGTTTCCTTTAACTAGTCGCGAAGCGGTTACATTTACTTTCAGTTCACAGGCCTAGCCGTGAGTGAACGCCCCGGCCGATCCCGCAGTGCTTCCAAAGAAATGCAGCTCCTAAAACCCTAAACCCTACACCCTGAACCCTTAACCCTAAAACCTTAAAAGCCCTAAACAATGAACCTCCAAGACAGTTTGGGCGTGGGAATCCTGATGTCGGAATCCTGAAATCCCCTAAACCCTAAACCCCTAATTAAATCCTAAACCCCCTAAACCCCGAAACCCTAAACCCCTAATTAAACCCTAAACCCTAAACCCCTCAGAGGCCTCTAGAGCACCAGCTGCTAGCCCCGTTATGGCGTCTGAGAGAATACGTAGTCTAGTTTGGAGTTTCGGTAGCATGTGAAAACCCCAAAACTCCCCATATAAGCATGTATTGAGGAAGGCATGGTTTATGCCTTGTCTCCCCCCAGTCCTCTGGAACTATCACTATGCTTGTGACTTGGCTGCGGGGCATTACATTTGCTGTCGTGATGAATATCGATTTTCAGGTTTCACGAAAGCCTCTACATACCCTCTAACCCACATAGGGCATCTCACGAGGTGATTCATACGTCCACCCGCGTCTAATAGGTGCTTTCAGGAATCACCATGCGGACTCCACTCCTTCATCGAGAAAGAATAAGCAACTCAGAGGCTCTGAACACATACATCTATATATATATATACACACACACTTGCGAAGCTTTCAAGCTTTCTCTAAACCTGGGTTGCCAGTCAAGGCGCTGTGGTCCATGTGATGGGCGTGGTGCATAGTTTCTCCTTCCTTGCGTGTTTGCTGTCGTCTCGTGAAGGAGTTCGTTTACCAACCAAGGTGACTACCTAAACCCTAAACCCTAAACCCTAAACCCTAAACCCTAAACCCACATACGATGACAAGGCTGCGACGCAATCAAAACACCCGCCACGGACTGAATGGAGTGAAAAAAAACATACCAAGGAGGCCAGTGATTTACGAAGACACCCTCAACCCTAAACCCCTAAACCCCTAAACCCTAAACCTCTAAGCCCCTAAACCCTAAACCCCTAACCCCTTAAACCCCTAAACCCCTAAACCCCTGAACCAACCCTTGAACCCTAAACCCCTAAACCCTAAGAGTCAAGGGTTCGGATGGACCAGGGTTCGAAGGTCGGCACGGTGTGTAGTATAGGGTATAGGGTTTAGGGTTTAGGGGCCTTAGTAACTAGAATAGGGTCTTGGGACATATGATTAAGGGTTTAGGGTTTCACTATCGGGGCCTTAATACTTGGAACAGGGTTCAGGGCAAATTATACCATAACTATAATGAGGAACCCCCCAAATAGTATTGGTACTTATTTAGACCCCTATAGTAGAGTGCCTGTCTATTTCGGCCCAGCCACACCGTGCGGAAGGTACCTGCGGGAGGGATGGAACGGAAACTGCTAAAGCACAGCATTCGAAAGGGTCCAGGGGTTTTGCGACTTCCTGTTGCATCGGTGCCCCTGACGAGACTTGAGAGCACCCTTGAAGAGACCCTTAAAGGATGCGATTGCCAGTTCCTCTGGCCCTAATACCTTGACCTTAATAATTTGAAAAATGTAAGGGCCTTAATAACGAGAACAGGGTTTAGGGCTTCTTTATAGTATACTTAAAATAAGGAGCCCCAAGAATAATATGGGTAAATTGTTTAAGCTTCTTTGTTAGGCTATCTGGGGTTGATGTGGAGTGCAGAGCCCTGAGACGGCGAAGGATCTGCTTTTCACAGATCCGTAACGTAGGGACCTTAAGAATAAATAGAATAGGGTTTTGGGGGTTTCTTATCACAACTACATGCAGGATAATATACCCCCGAACCCTATTCTAATTATTATTCCCAGAGAACCCAATACCTCTTAATTAAGGAATATACCTGAAATCATAGTATTAAGGTCTCTATGATTTAAGGTACATTCCGTAATTAATGTGTATTAGGTTCTCTAAATCTTAGTTGCTGAGTTCATAAGCCCCCAAAATTTCAGTTCTATAAAGGATCATATTATCCCACAAAGTGTAAAGTGTACTCACTCAGCTACTGGGAAATTATTAGGGCCCCTAGAGTAACCTGAGAAACCGTGCTCCTGAAAGCAGAACCACAAAACCATGGTCGCCTGCGAGTCTGCTGCGTTAATGTAGGGGCCTTAATAACTAGAATAGGGTTTAGGGTTTTGGGTTTAGGGTTTTGGGTTTCAGGGCTAGGATTTAGGGTTTAGGGGCCTGAATAATGAGAATGGGGTTTCGGTACCCCTTATACTACAATATTTTACTATGGAACCGCCCAAAGTTGTATAGGTAATTATTTAGGTCCCTACATCAAGGACCTTTCCGTGGCTCGATCCTGTCTTGGCTCCGTTGTCTCCTATCTCCCAGTCCTGGTGGTGTCAAGAGAACAAAAGCTCCGTTTGGCTTCCTTGTTGCAAAACCCAAAGGGTCCAAGTTATAGTATAGTATATACTTTGGGGGCCCAAATACCTATTATAGTATAGTATATACTTTGGGAAAGCTTGTCTTCGAAACTTACAGCAGCTGGTTGCCACTTCCTGGTGATGCTCGAGCAGTAGCGCTGCCAACAGTTGTGCTGGTGCTCGTCAGCTGTCGACATTGCATATGCCCCTTCCCGTGTTGAGGCGTAGTGCGTGCCCTCAACACCCTCCACCATCGTCGTCGGAGAGCCTTGTGCTACCTCCTCCGTGTTAACCGACCTCGAACCTTGCGTAGCCTTCTCCGTTCGACGTCGCTGACGCTTCGCTTTTTGCTTGGCTGCACGAGCTTCGCGAGAACCTTGCACTTCACAAGTGCCAGGGGCACCCGGGACTTCAGGAGATGCGCTAGTGACCATGTCGTTCTGGGCCGCCGCAGTGACGGGATGTAAGTCACTGCAGCCGCCACTGCCGCCACAAGCGCCTCGGCGCCTTTGCCTGAAACGCCGTTTTCACCGCTGCGGCCAAGAGTGCAGCACTTCCAGAATCGGCTGTTAAGGTATATATATATATATATAAATATAAATATAAATATATATATATATATATTAGACGATACTAATAATAAGGACCGCCCAAAATGGGATTGGAAGTTATTTAGACCCTCTATCACCGGGTCTTTCCACTAGGTACTGTTTATGGAAATATTTCAGAGAAATGCTGGCTGTTCCTCTTCCTCTTTTCCAGATCACTCGTTGGTTTCTACTTTGGAGATAAGCCTCTAAGCCCTAAGCCCAAAAAACCTAAACCATTAACCCTAAACCCTAAAGCCTAAACCCTAAAATCTAGGGATGAGCCCTTAATGCCCAGACCCTCGTTGGGGGTCGGTACCTGCTTCGGAGAGCAAGTCCTGCAATCCCAACATAGGGGCCTTAAGAATTAGCATAGGGCTTTGGGCCCGTTGATACGCGTAGCTACAATAAAAAACCTCAATATTGGTAATTATTCAGGCTTCTATATGGGCCTTTCCGAAAAAAAGGGACCCGAATATACTGCCCTAAATAGTAGGCTCCTTATTATCAGGACCCCAAAACAAGGTACCCCTTATCTGTCGGAAGCTCCCACCCTAAACCCTAAACCCTAAACCCTAAGCCCATAGTACACCCGAAGGGCGTAATACTGGGTCGGGTCGCGCTGGGGCCTTAGGCCAGCGCGTGCCACAAACACTAACTAGCACATGAACCGTCATCAACTTCGCCTTGCATGAGTCTGCAGCTTTGCCTGG